CCTCTTTTAACAGGTGTGCCCTCTGGAATGCAATTAGCCCAGGAAACTGGGAAGAGGGGCACTGATAAGAGCTACCTGTCATCTCTGCTGTCTGTCTCTCTCTTCCAGGTGCCAGCACCTTGGTGCTGAGTTGCCCAGCCTCTAGAATTGAGTCAATAAATTTCAGTACATTAGAAATAACCCTTGCGGCTGGGGAGATGGCTCAGTGGAATAAGCGCTTCCCTGGCAAGTGCAAGGACCTGAGTTCAATCCTCAGTTCCACAAAAAAAAAAAAAAAAAGAAAAAGAAAGAAAGAAATAACCCTATCTCTGGCAGAAAAATGGACTAAGACACCTGAGAACAGGTTCTAACATCATTTCCAGTTCCCTATTAGTTTCATGAGTTGAATAAAATATGTACATTTTATATCTGTATTATGATTTTTACCTTTTTAAAAAATCTTTTAACAGGGAGATATCTCAGCAGTTATAAGTGCCTGCCTGGCAAGCACAATCTTTTAACAATATCACTTTACACAAACACACTAAATCTCACTTTGAATAAGTCTCACTACTTATTAGTGTACCCTGAAATCTAACCAATTTTAAGAGCTTAGATCTGTTAAAAGAGTAGTGTGTTTCAAATTTCTTTAACGTTCTAACAACTGATTACCAATTCATTTTGGCAAGAGAAAACCCATTGTGATGCTTTCTTTGTAAGAAGAAGGAAAGTCCTAGAAAGCCTCAGGACACCCACAGCCACAGGGCAAATGCTTGCTCTCCAGAAGACAAGGCCTCAGGAATATGCAGGAGTAAAGTCCTGACCTACATACTTAATATGAAAATATGATCCTTCTTATCAGACTACAGCTAAAACTAAAGAGTAAAAATAATGACCAACAGAGAGAATTGAGTATTACACATACACACCTCCCAAATACTAACGTTCTCGGCTACACAACAGTATAATGAAACTGTGGCTGGGCTCCTAACTAGAGCATTCATCAACATCTATCCTCTTAATCTGCTGGAAACCACTCTTACTAGTTCGAAGGTCCAAGTGCCTAGAAGGGCTCAGGCCACCAGAGCAGCTCGTGCCCTGATCAAAATTCCACCTGCAACACTCTCAAGAAGCAACACATCGGAACAGTCACGTAGCTGCCTTGACAAATCCCAAACACAAGGACTACGGGCCCGTGTCACCACGCCCCACTATCACAAGGACTTTAAGACAAGTCAGTGATCATCAGAGCAAAACAATGCAACACAAAAACATTCAACATGGCTAATATTTCCACATGTAGCAACCTTGAGGCAATGAAGAAAACGTCTTGCTTTCTCAATGCCTGGGTACACCTGACCTGAGCTGAGAACTCGGTCACACAGTAATCTGACTGGAGATTCCGCTCTGTCAAGCTCACCTATACACTCAAACCACCCACAAGCTCCCACAGCAGGCAGTTGCTCAAGGTGAAGTTGAGTCTCACGAGGTCTATTCTTTCGCTTTTAGAAAAGGCCAGGAATGCAGGTACCTACTAGATCCAAAGCGCTCACACCACACAATCCTGCTATTTTAGACATGGAAATAGGCATAAGCAGGTCGAGGCCCTCCAGTGGGATGCAGAAGATGAAACTCATCACAACAGTGGGCAGAGGTGCATCCGGAGAAGGCAGGACCTTGAGACTAAAGTCACAACGGCCAGACTGACATGCTTCCCTGAAGTATAAACAGAAGCCTGGGATTATACTGTTTGGAACCCTCCCTTGGAGACATCCCATAGAGACAGAACATAATCTCCCTGGGCCACCCTCTCCCACCCACTAAACCCAAAAGGACAGATTGTGATGTCCTCCTTCCCTACTGGATCAATATTAGCCAAGAGGTTATATTTATAATCTCATTGGTTGATTAGTTTCACCCACCTCATGATTTTGACCTCGGTAGCAACACACCTTGGTCCTCTCTTGCCTTTCAGGAGCTATTCCTAGTCTATCAACCTATCCTACTCTTAACCTCCTTTGTCCTTTGTAATTTAGTCTTTAATTTCAGGGGACAGAACTCAGCACATCTGACATCAAGTAGATTGGGAATTTTATCGCTCCCCTCTCACTGCTACCTTGGTATCAAATGACTGGTCCAGGAATCATAGTCAGAGGTAACCAAAGGCTGTTTATGAGGTGGCCCAAAGGTAGAAGGTCCTTATAAACCATGTACAACTCACCTCATCCAATGTAACCTTGGAAATACTGCATCTACTAAATAATCAGAACCACTGCCACTGCCCAAAAGTTTCTTTTTCTTTTTTATTTTATTTTACTTTTGCCCAAAAGTTTCTAAGTTTCTTCACGCTAACTCACTCAAAAGCCAATGCCCACAGGGAGATGGCTCAGTAGAATAAGCACTTGCCTGGCAAGCGCAAGGGCCTGAGTTCAATCCCTGGTTCTGAAAAAAAAAAAAAAAAAAAAAAAACCCAATGCCCAAGGCCATGCGTGGTAGTGCACCCCTATAATCCCAGCACTCAGAAAACTAAGGCAGGAAAATTGTTGAGAGTTCGAGACCAGCCTGGGCTACAAAATAAGCTCAAGGCCAGCCTGAACTGCATAGCAAGATCCTGTCTCAAAAAGACAAAAAATAAAAATAAAAAATCAAGGTCCAGGGGCCGGAGAGACAGCTCAGTGGAATAAG